TATTTGTATATAGTGTATATATTGTATATATTGTGTGCTCCCTGTGTGCTCTTACTACTGTCCTGTCTGTGCGATGCAACATCGAAATGTCCCCACTGTGGGACGAATAAAGGAATTCTTATCTTATCTTAAAGGTTTGATGTATTTCACTTTGGTGTAACGAGTCTTTCATATATAATTGTTTGTCATTGTCCGTACCTTCACCTTTATATATAAATGAGTTCCTGTAGATTTCACATAGTTATAGCACACACTATTCTGCAGGTCTGGAAAGTCAGTGAAATCATCAAAAACGGCCATGATTGATCAGATAATGTGTTAAGAAAGGAAAGGAAATATTGGGAGAACATTGTTGAGTAATAATATCCTGCATTCTTTGGCTGCGTGTAAATGAACCAGACAAGAATCCAGGCATTTGCAAAAACCGTTCCCGTTATATATAATGCGTCTGTATGTTGGCTGACGAAACCACGTTGCTCCAATTAGCGTAATCACACATGGAAACAAACCGCTGCTTGAACCGCTATTTATACTTTTAATTACACAACCCCAAACACGAACAATTAACAATTTCGCAGCCATAAATGAACACTCCAGCCTTGGTGACATAACCGCTTTTTTAACAAAACGTGTTAATTAACTGAAGGGCGGGATTGTTACGTTCACAAGAGCGTGTTTGTGGAGGTCTTTTGGAAGACGAGGAAGCAGCACAAATGGAATAATGAGCTGCGTTTGTGTCTAAAGGAAACACGTCCTGAACATGGGCCAAAAACACTGATCTCTCAGAGTTTTTATAACACAATATATCAGATACATAAGCACAAGTGTGGCCTCAGCCAACTGTAAGCTCTTACCATGTGTAAACTCTGGTCCATGATCATCTCCTACATGTACGTCTGGTCTTACCATGTGTAAACTCTGGTCCATGATCATCTCCTACATGTACGTCTGGTCTTACCATGTGTAAACTCTGGTCCATGGTCATTTCCTAAATGTACGTCTGGTCTTACCATGTGTAAACTCTGGTCCATGATCATCTCCTACATGTACGTCTGGTCTTACCATGTGTAAACTCTGGTCCATGATCATCTCCTACATGTACGTCTGGTCTTACCATGTGTAAACTCTGGTCCATGGTCATTTCCTAAATGTACGTCTGGTCTTACCATGTGTAAACTCTGGTCCATGATCATCTCCTACATGTACGTCTGGTCTTACCATGTGTAAACTCTGGTCCATGATCATTTCCTACATGTACGTCTGGTCTTACCATGTGTAAACTCTGGTCCATGATCATTTCCTACATGTACGTCTGGTCGTACCATGTGTAAACTCTGGTCCATGATCATCTCCTACATGTACATCTGGGTCTTACCATGTGTAAACTCTGGTCCATGATCATCTCCTACATGTACGTCTGGTCTTACCATGTGTAAACTCTGGTCCATGATCATGTCCTACATGTACGTCTGGTCTTACCATGTGTAAACTTTGGTCCATGATCATTTCCTACATGTACGTCTGGTCTTACCATGTGTAAACTCTGGTCCATGATCATCTCCTACATGTACGTCTGGTCTTACCATGTGTAAACTCTGGTCCATGATCATCTCCTACATGTACGTCTGGTCTTACCATGTGTAAACTCTGGTCCATGGTCATTTCCTACATGTACGTCTGGTCTTACCATGTGTAAACTCTGGTCCATGATCATCTCCTACATGTACGTCTGGTCTTACTGTACCATGTGTAAACTCTGGTCCATGGTCATTTCCTACATGTACGTCTGGTCTTACCATGTGTAAACTCTGGTCCATGATCATTTCCTACATGTACGTCTGGGTCTGATCCTAGTGGCTGCAGTTTCCTCGGTTGAATCCCCTCCGACCAATCAGAGAGCGGGGGAGGCGGGTGTTGTAGGTCGGTGTCGGTGACGTCAAGAGTTTGTGCTGAATTTGCTGGTTGTAGTTTGTCAATGGCTGCAAATGCGATAGTAAAATAATCTGTTCTGGTTCAATCCAAATATCAAGAAACTGAAGCCGGAGCAAGAAGAATGTAGAAAATGTCATAGCTGTAAAGATGTTGTGGCTCTACTGCCCACAGGCTCCGTTAGCGGCAAAGGAGAGGAGGCTAAAGCTAGGCCCAGCTAAAGTTATGTCCAGAACTAAGTATCAAATGAAATGAGTAAGATGGTAGATGAAGAGCAGGCTGGTTCACACTAGTTTAGTTTTGGTTTTACTTCTTGTCCTGTTGCCCTGTGTTGATGGTCTGCCCCGCCCCCGTGTGTCTGTTTGTACCTGTGCTCATTCTCACTTGTTGCTGGTCCATTGTCTTTGCTTGTTCCTTAGTTTCACTTTGATATTTGACTTTTTTACCTTGGACAAATCATTATTATGGCATTCCCACTTCACCCCATGACCCTCAGACATGAGGGTGTTACTGGCCTCACTTTTTCATGAGAAGACGGACTTTTTACAGTTTAATGATGTTTATTTGCCAAACTTGCACGGCCAAAGCAAATCGATGTCTTTAGGAAGCAGGCAAACCCAAACTATGGCCCAGGGACCAACTGCGGTCCTCTCTGTCTCTGTCTTTGACACAATCTGAACTCTGAACACTGTAAAAGGACTTTGGGTGACCTTGGTCTGTAAAAATGTGCTATATGAATAAATACTACTACCATTGGCCCTCTGTTTCGTTAACACAAAGTAGTCTTTAAGATCATGAACACTCGATTCCAGTGTCATCCAGCCAACTTCAACTCCAGCCAGTATACCCAGGCTATAGCTGGATGTATGTGCTGACATGTGTTTTCGATTGTGTCACAAAATACAACATTAATGAGATTGTGAGATGGTATTTTTCATTTAGCCAACTTCAGCTCCGTCATAGATATTTATAGAGCACAGAATAGGCCAAATCCAGACAAAACAGTTTAATAATGGGCAAAGCAAGTTTCATACAGAAGGCAACTCAAAGTCCTGAACAAAACACGATGGAATTAAAATCCAAAATAATCACAGTACATTCAATAGAAAAGAAAAAAAAGATTCACAGAGTCATTTTTCCCTGGATTTAAACATTGTCAGAGACGACGTCTGTCTCAATTTTTTGGGAAGATTGTCACAGATTTTAGGTGCATAAATCTAAAATGCTGCAGCCTCCCCATGTTTACTTCTGTCATAGCTTATACTCACACGTTTAGCTCTCTGCGAGGCAAGACTCAGGAAAAATAAATACCTCTGGAATCGGTCTGCGTCTCCCTTAGCTACACAGGGAGCTCTCTGCGGGGAGCTCTCCACAGGGAGCTCTCTGCGGGGCCTCTCTGCGGGGCCTCTCTGCGGGGAGCTCTCTGCGGGGAGCTCTCTGCGGGGAGCTCTCTGCGGGGCCTCTCTGGGTCCTCGGCCCCTGGACAAGTCTGGTGAACAAAGTGGCCCTCTTACTAAAATGTTTGAACATCCCAGATAATAACAACAAAATATTCCATTTGCAAAAACAAATATCTTAGTTTTGAAATTGGTCAAAAAAGTTGTGTTTCTCTGCAATCAGTTACAATCTTCCACATGTTGTGTTATTGGTGGTAAATTAGAAATGATTTGCTAAAGACGGGAAAAAACTTGTATTGTACTGCTCTAAAATATATCAGGCTTTTCAAAAAAACTACTTGGTAAAGGCCAAAAGGTAAATCTTTCAAGAAGTTTTCCAATGGCCCTTTTGCAGATTAATTCAAACAACATTTTATGACAACAACCTACAGTTAACTTTCTTTCCCTTTTGTCACAAAAACAACTCGAGTGAGAGCAAGGATGTAACGTGTAACAAAAGGCTCTGTTCAAAACATCGACTGTAAATATCAACGACCGCAGTCACGCCTATCTCCACCGTTCAAACCTATCTCCACCGTTCAAACCTATCTCCACCGTTCAAACCTATCTCCACCGTTCAAACCTATCTCCACCGTTCAAACCTATCTCCACCGTTCAAACCTATCTCCACCGTTCACTATCTCCACCGTTCACTATCTCCACCGTTCAAACCTATCTCCACCGTTCAAACCTATCTCCACCGTTCACTATCTCCACCGTTCACTATCTCCTCCGTTCACTATCTCCACCGTTCACTATCTCCACCGTTCACTATCTCCACCGTTCAAACCTATCTCCACCGTTCACTATCTCCTCCGTTCACTATCTCCTCCGTTCACTATCTCCTCCGTTCACTATCTCCACCGTTCACTATCTCCTCCGTTCACTATCTCCTCCGTTCACTATCTCCACCGTTCACTATCTCCACCGTTCACTATCTCCTCCGTTCACTATCTCCACCGTTCACTATCTCCTCCGTTCACTATCTCCTCCGTTCACTATCTCCACCGTTCAAACCTATCTCCACCGTTCAAACTAATGTGCCAACACTTTCGCCGTCCGTGGGCAGTTTCAAAATGGCCGCGGGGGTTTGAAATTGTGAAAAAACACATTTGCGCAGTTGTTAGCTGTATGAGCCCCATTCATTTAAACGCGTGCCTTCTAAAGTCCACTGCGGCTAAACTAGACTGGTCCAAAACACTCCCCTCAGCATTGACACACATGTGGAACGGAGCTTTGGGTCAAGAGCTGACTTTTGGACCAAGGTAAAAAGATAAGCATTGAATAATTCACCCCCTACTGGCCTGGGGTGGTATAGCAAGCAACAATGCAGCCATGATGTGATAAGCACAGTGTGTTACTGAAGCTGAGGCTGATTTTGAGCTCTGGCACAGGTGTGTAGAGGGGGAAGAGTCAGGGTAGAGGGGGAGGAGTCAGTGTAGAGAGGGAGGAATCAGTGTGTAGAGTGGGAGGAGTCAGTGTAGAGGAGGAGGAGTCAGTGTAGAGGGGGAGGAGTCAGGGTAGAGGAGGAGGAGTCAGTGTAGAGGGGGAGGAATCAGTGTGTAGAGTGGGAGGAGTCAGTGTAGAGGAGGAGGAGTCAGTATAGAGGGGGAGGAGTCTGTAGAGGAGGAGGAGTCAGTGTAGAGGGGGAGGAGTCAGTGTAGAGAGGGAGATGTCAGTGTAGAGGGGAGGAGTCAGCATAGAGGGAGGAGTCAGTGTGGAAGGAGGAGTCAGTGTAGAGGGAGGAGTCAGTGTAGAGGGAGGAGTCAGTGAAGAGGGAGGAGTCAGTGTAGAGGGAGGAGTCAGTGAAGAGGGAGGAGTCAGTGTAGAGGGAGGAGTCAGTGTAGAGGGAGGAGTCAGTGTAGAGGGAAGAGTCAGTGAAGAGGGAGGAGTCAGTGTGGAAGGAGGAGTCAGTGTGGAAGGAGGAGTCAGTGTAGAGGGAGGAGTCAGTGTAGAGGGAGGAGTCAGTGAAGAGGGAGGAGTCAGTGTAGAGGGAGGAGTCAGTGTAGAGGGAGGAGTCAGTGAAGAGGAAGAGTCAGTATGGAAGGAGGAGTCAGTGTGGAAGGAGGAGTCAGTGTGGCAGCATGAAGTCTCTTTCTGTTTTCCAGTCTGAATTTGCACTTTATCTTAAAAACAATCTAACTCCCAGGCTGATACACCATGACCCTGCCTAATCCCTGAGCGTCTTTAGAATCCCATAATAACTTTTCTATAACTGGTGCTATTCAAACTCAGCTTCTTCGTTATTATCATCTACTCTGGCGCTGTACAGGACGTGGAAATGGCACACATTCCTCTTGCTCCTCAGACGCAGCCTCACCTGTCGCTCGCTGCTCAGCCGACTGGAAGGGCATATTAAAAAGGTCACATTATTTGAAATTCAGGGCATTTTGAAAGCTCCACGAGAGAACTCATTTATCCAGCGTCCGCCCGGTGACAGACGGCAGAGGGAGAGAGCAGCGCCTAATCCACTGTAATTTGGCCAAAATGAACTGACATAGATAAAAATTGGAGATTCAAAGCATGCGTATGTTTTGGTTTAGTGGTGTCGTAGAAATGGAGAAAATCGGACAGTATGGAGATACTGTGGTCAATTAGGAAAAGAATAAAATCGGAGGCGAATTTGACCGTGAATGAAGAGGCGCTCGACCACTGTCAGCTCCTTCACTGTCTGTGTGCTGTTTGCATGTTCTCTCTGCATAGGTTTCCTCCAGGTGCTCCAGTTTCACCTTCCACTAAAATCATATACTGTAGGTTTAAATGTGAGGAGTAATGTCAACATCTGCATTCCACTAACATTGTATATGTGTGAAATTTGCTATATTAAAAAAAGATTACTTTAAAATAATCGATATTGATTGAGCTGAAAAAAGACTTGGCTTCAAAAACAATTTAGTTCTAGCCTCTGTCACATTTTTGAATGGCTTTTTCTGTCTGAAGAAGTCAATCAGCTCTTAGCCCAAGAAGTCAAATAGTGACTCACAGGGCTCTGTGCAAAAAACACTACTTTCCTTTTACAAAACTCTTGTAATGAGGTGAAATGAAAAACACATAATGCAGGACTGAAAATTAATCAAATAAATCCAAGGTGAAAAAAAAATCCAGAACTGAGAACAAGCCAGGAACAAACATGGCAACAAGTGGGAAAAGGGACACATCACATTAGAGCAAACAACAGGAGACAGAAAGAAAACTCAAATTACAGGATAACAAATATAGTCAAATAAAACCAGGTCAAAATAATAATAAAAAGTCCACACCATGACAGCTCTTTCTTTTGGGATAAAAAAAAGTATTATTTATAAACCCAAACATGTAGATACCCCGGCTTTAGAGGAGCAGTGTGTAAACGTGTGGTCAAAAGTGGTACTGCAGCCTCTCCCACTCTCCCTGACTCAGGTTGCCAGATATGCAGACGAATCCAGCTGGGACCATAACAGCTGAATAGACAAGAGTTTTGTCAACAACAAATCTATAACCAACACCTTTTTCACAAAGATAGAAATCCTGGTTTTATTCATGGTTTCGTCGTTAATGATTTAAGAATGATAATTAGACTATTCTTATTCCTGCGGCCACATGGTACTTTACCAGTGAGATTAGCTCCACACGGAGATTTCTGGCAACCCAGAAAAACTCTTTCTGATTGGTGAAACGGTGGAAGGCGAGATATTAAGATAAAAACAACAATATTTAGGGGGCTGTAAAACTTATTTTGATTTCAAATATCTCTGAATTAGTGTAATCAGTTAAAGAAGTATTGGAAAAGACCATGGTTTATTAATGTCTTTTGACAGATCGTGCCCTTTAATGATGACTTGACATGAAAATCTTACATATTGTTACTTTAATGTCTGAAAAATCAGCTGCATTCCTGTTCTTTTTGTGAAAATTTACTCGATTTGCCTTAGGTTTCTCTTCACACTTGCGGCCTATCTTTCCCCCATGGCCAGTGCCGTCGGAGTTGATCCCAGAGAGGAGGCACTTTTCAGGGGGAGAGAGCGGCTGATCTCCCTGCTCTGCTCCAGCGCCTCCATAGTCTGACCATGAAGGCCGGACCAGCGCCTGATAAAGCTCCTGTCAACACCATGGACCATCCTCACCCCCAGAATCAATCACTCTTTTCCCCTTTATCCCCCGCAGCCAACCAGGCCTCACCTCCACAAGAACCTTCAGGCTAAAAGCAATTTGTCAGGATCTCATCTGCATTTGGACGGGAGGTTTACGGAGGAGAGAGGCGGCGGACGGCTTCATCGGAGCGTTCAGCGGCAGCACAGACTGGGTCAGTGTGTTGCTGGGTTTAAAAAGTTTACACAAAGATTCAAACCTACAAAGCTCTGCACACAACAAACACACATTCTTAGTTATTAAATTAGACGGTTTTTAGAGTTTTGAGATGGTTCACATGCATTAGACAACACAAAAAAGGAATTCAAAAAGTGACTCAAGAATGAAGGAAAAATTAACATGTGTTTTTTTTTAGGTAAGAGGTCAGGCTGGAGGGTCTGAAGTACGACATGGCAGAATGTTGGAGCAGACAGGAACTGAAAAGATGGAATAATAATAATGACAATAATGTAATGGTTTTATAGAGCGCTTTTCAGGACTCTCAAAAACGCTGATGATGAACTAGTACTTTAGCCACAGCTGCCCTGGGGCACACTGACAGAAGTGAGGCAACCAGTCTGTGCCATTGGCCCCTCCCACCACCACCAACCATTCACACACACCAGACCCATTATAACGTGGGTGAAGTGTCTTGCCTGAGGACACAACCTCTGACTGTTTGGCACTTTACAGTCAGAGGTTTACCAGAGGTCTCCCATCACAGTACTAACCAGGCCCTGTCCTGCTTAGCTTCAGAGGTCTGATGGAACCTGGTTTTCACATGCAAGATGTTATGGTGTGGATTTTATTTTTGTATTTTTGTTTTAATTTGACATCTGTTATCTGTGAATTAGTTTTAGTTTGACTTCCTGTCCTGTTTCCCCCTGTCTTGATGGTCTGCCCCGCCCTCATGTGTTTCACCTGTGTCTGTTTGTACCCTGTGCTCCTTTTTTTTAAATTATTATTATTATTTTTTTATTAACGTTTATACATGTAGTTACAACAATGAGGAATAGTGCCAGGGGATACATTACACACATTACACCAGAGGAAGATAATTCATTAAAAAAACACACAAAAAAACAACATTCATACCAAAAATATTAAGAGGAGCCAGGAGTAAGACTGTACTTTTCTAGTATATACATTGTTTTACCTGCTTTTTTATTTTGTATTGAATTAATAGTAGAAATATATAGGTTCATGTCTGCAAGAAACCCTGCGCCCCTCTCCCCTTGTGCTGGCCCATTGTCTTGTCTTGTTCATGTCTCTGTCTGTTTCCGTCCTGTTCCTGGTCTTGTATTTTTAGTTGGTTTCATCTGGACTTTTTTTTTAATCATTAAACCCTTATTTTTGGCATTCCTGCAATTTTGGGTCTTCATTCACTTCATCACACGACACAAGAATGGCCAGACATCCATAAATGTCCCGGAGCGTGGCTGTCCTGGGTCCCTCTGCAGTCCAGAGAGATCCCAGAGGCGGTGGAGCGGAGCCGAAGTCGAGATGTTGGAGCTGAAGTTGAGTGAAGGTTTTTAGTGGAGTGATACCTCCGTGATCTCATATCGTCTTTGTGACCTTTCCGCACGGCGGCTCAGGGGCCGATGTCTGTTTGTTATTGAAAAAGTTGAAGTAGACGCCGTTTTCTCTGGACACTCGGCAAAGACACTGATCCTTTTCAAACACGGCGCCATCGATTTCTCCTCGTGTCCCGGAGAACAATCAATGCGCCATCAGCAATCTCCAAACTCACTTCTTTCATTTATTTATGAGATGTTTTGGAAGAATAATGACGACTGTGGAGTTTCAAAGCCATATTGACTTTCATCTGTGGGATTAGACGTGGATTGAATATGATCAAAATGATACTTGGTCAATAGTAATGTACGGAGCTAAACATAAAAACTACTGTGTGTGTGTGTGTGTGTGTGTGTGTGTGTACGCGAGAGTGCGTGTGGGTCTGTGTGTGTGTGTGTGCGTGTGCGTGTGTGTACGCGAGAGTGCGTGTGGGTCTGTGTGTGTGTGAGTGCGTGTGCGTGCGTGCGTGCGTGTGTGTGTGTGTGTGTACGCGAGAGTGCGTGTTGGTCTGTGTGTGTGTGAGTGCGTGCGTGTGTGTGTGCGTGTGCCTGCCTGTGTCTGTGTGTGTGTGCGTGTATATAAAATCATTTCTATAAATGTGGTGTCTATGTGTGTGTAATTCCAAAGTCCAAAATTGCTCAAATTTGGCATATTGTCTCTTAATTTGAGCACATTGTGACTTCCTTAAAACAAGATTTGCCAAAGTCACAAAAAAAAAAAAATATCAAAAAAAATAAACACTTGCTCAAAAATGTATTTCCTTGATATTTGATATTATGATATGATATTTTGATAATTTTTGCAGCGTGTTACTTACCCGTCATTAACCTCAGCATTAATATATCTAATATAAGTATAGGTGCACTGTTATGGTGATTATATCTTCATGACACGTGTAGCTGTTTTGGTAGATTACAGATTGATATTGATCCTGGAAGGAGAAATGCCGCTGTCCACACAAACACAAAAATACACAATTCTGAAAGTCACTAACAACACTAATATAGTCATAAATCATTTTCTCTTCTCTGGTTCAGAGTGAAATTCTGAATGCTTCTTTTTAGCATTTGTCAAAAAAAGAACATTCCTCCAGTGGATTTATGCTTGATCAAAAATAACTATTTCAGAGCGACTTGCTGCCGTTTCCAGGGTTTTCAAAAGTCATGTGTAGCTATGGACATTTTCTTTTTTACTGTTCTGGGCCGAGAATGTGGAGAAAGGGACAAAAGTGGCTGGTGGAGGAGAGAAGAAAGTTCAGAAGCCATGTTTTGACAGTCACTGATCATAGTTAGAGCCAAAAAGTACAATCTCACTCCTCCAAAACTATCTCTATATACTGTATGTGGTGAACGGTGATATTATCGAGTCGGTGGAGAAAATGTCAGAGTGGAGAGTTTGAGAACAATGTGAGATTTTACATAGAGCGCAGTGGTTCTGGGCAGACAGGATTCAGCCTTGATCTGGTCCATGACACTTCTTTGATTCTACAGCGCCCCCAGCACAGCCCAGGACTCACCAACACACCCACTGCCACCAGGGGGAAGAGAGAGAGAGAGAGAGAGAGAGAGAGAGAGAGAGAGAGAGAGAGAGAGAGAGAGAGAGAGAGAGAGAGAGAGAGAGAGAGAGAGAGAGAGAGAGAGAGAGAGAGAGAGAGAGAGAGAGAGAGAGAGAGAGAGAGAGAGAGAGAGAGAGAGAGAGAGAGAGAACACACTTGGATATCGTGTAAGTCGCAGTAGACTGTAGTTGTTTGGACGTGCTTTGACTGTGTCGTTATTCAGTTTAATTCCATTCATTTTTGTATAGCCCTAAATCTGATCTGATCTGATCTGATTTTACAAAGTTGTCGGCGACACAGATTAGAGACTCAGACAGTTCCAACACAGTCCTTACCAGACACTTTCAGATGTAAGTGTGGTCACAAACACACAGAGCAGTGGTTCTTAACATGGTTCAGCACAGGCTCTCTGTGTCAGTGTGTATCTGTATCACCTGTGTCAGTGTGTATCTGTATCACCTGTGTCAGTGTGTATCTGTATCACCTGTGTCAGTGTGTATCTGTATCACCTGTGTCAGTGTGTATCTGTATCACCTGTGTCAGTGTGTATCTGTATCACCTGTGTCAGTGTGTATCTGTATCACCTGTGTCAGTGTGTATCTGTATCACCTGTGTCAGTGTGTATCTGTATCACCTGTGTCAGTGTGTATCTGTATCACCTGTGTCAGTGTGTATCTGTATCACCTGTGTCAGTGTGTATCTGTATCACCTGTGTCAGTGTGTCTCTGTATCACCTGTGTCAGTGTGTATCTGTATCACCTGTGTCAGTGTGTATCTGTATCACCTGTGTCAGTGTGTCTCTGTATCACCTGTGTCAGTGTGTCTCTGTATCACCTGTGTCAGTGTGTATCTGTATCACCTGTGTCAGTGTGTCTCTGTATCACCTGTGTCAGTGTGTATCTGTATCACCTGTGTCAGTGTGTATCTGTATCACCTGTGTCAGTGTGTCTCTGTATCACCTGTGTCAGTGTGTCTCTGTATCACCTGTGTCAGTGTGTCTCTGTATCACCTGTGTCAGTGTGTATCTGTATCACCTGTGTCAGTGTGTATCTGTATCACCTGTGTCAGTGTGTATCTGTATCACCTGTGTCAGTGTGTATCTGTATCACCTGTGTCAGTGTGTATCTGTATCACCTGTGTCAGTGTGTATCTGTATCACCTGTGTCAGTGTGTCTCTGTATCACCTGTGTCAGTGTGTCTCTGTATCACCTGTGTCAGTGTGTATCTGTATCACCTGTGTCAGTGTGTATCTGTATCACCTGTGTCAGTGTGTATCTGTATCACCTGTGTCAGTGTGTATCTGTATCACCTGTGTCAGTGTGTGTCTGTATCACCTGTGTCAGTGTGTATCTGTATCACCTGTGTCAGTGTGTCTCTGTATCACCTGTGTCAGTGTGTATCTGTATCACCTGTGTCAGTGTGTATCTGTATCACCTGTGTCAGTGTGTATCTGTATCACCTGTGTCAGTGTGTATCTGTATCACCTGTGTCAGTGTGTATCTGTATCACCTGTGTCAGTGTGTATCTGTATCACCTGTGTCAGTGTGTATCTGTATCACCTGTGTCAGTGTGTATCTGTATCACCTGTGTCAGTGTGTATCTGTATCACCTGTGTCAGTGTGTATCTGTATCACCTGTGTCAGTGTGTATCTGTATCACCTGTGTCAGTGTGTATCTGTATCACCTGTGTCAGTGTGTATCTGTATCACCTGTGTCAGTGTGTATCTGTATCACCTGTGTCAGTGTGTATCTGTATCACCTGTGTCAGTGTGTATCTGTATCACCTGTGTCAGTGTGTATCTGTATCACCTGTGTCAGTGTGTATCTGTATCACCTGTGTCAGTGTGTATCTGTATCACCTGTGTCAGTGTGTATCTGTATCACCTGTGTCAGTGTGTTCTGTATCACCTGTGTCAGTGTGTATCTGTATCACTGTGTCAGTGTGTATCTGTATCACCTGTGTCAGTGTGTATCTGTATCACCTGTGTCAGTGTGTATCTGTATCACCTGTGTCAGTGTGTATCTGTATCACCTGTGTCAGTGTGTATCTGTATCACCTGTGTCAGTGTGTATCTGTATCACCTGTGTCAGTGTGTATCTGTATCACCTGTGTCAGTGTGTATCTGTATCACCTGTGTCAGTGTGTATCTGTATCACCTGTGTCAGTGTGTATCTGTATCACCTGTGTCGTGTGTCTGTATCACCTGTGTCAGTGTGTATCTGTATCACCTGTGTCAGTGTGTATCTGTATCACCTGTGTCAGTGTGTATCTGTATCACCTGTGTCAGTGTGTATCTGTATCACCTGTGTCAGTGTGTATCTGTATCACCTGTGTCAGTGTGTATCTGTATCACCTGTGTCAGTGTGTATCTGTATCACCTGTGTCAGTGTGTATCTGTATCACCTGTGTCAGTGTGTATCTGTATCACCTGTGTCAGTGTGTATCTGTATCACCTGTGTCAGTGTGTATCTGTATCACCTGTGTCAGTGTGTATCTGTATCACCTGTGTCAGTGTGTATCTGTATCACCTGTGTCAGTGTGTATCTGTATCACCTGTGTCAGTGTGTATCTGTATCACCTGTGTCAGTGTGTATCTGTATCACCTGTGTCAGTGTGTATCTGTATCACCTGTGTCAGTGTGTATCTGTATCACCTGTGTCAGTGTGTATCTGTATCACCTGTGTCAGTGTGTATCTGTATCACCTGTGTCAGTGTGTATCTGTATCACCTGTGTCAGTGTGTATCTGTATCACCTGTGTCAGTGTGTATCTGTATCACCTGTGTCAGTGTGTATCTGTATCACCTGTGTCAGTGTGTATCTGTATCACCTGTGTCAGTGTGTATCTGTATCACCTGTGTCAGTGTGTATCTGTATCACCTGTGTCAGTGTGTATCTGTATCACCTGTGTCAGTGTGTATCTGTATCACCTGTGTCAGTGTGTATCTGTATCACCTGTGTCAGTGTGTATCTGTATCACCTGTGTCAGTGTGTATCTGTATCACCTGTGTCAGTGTGTATCTGTATCACCTGTGTCAGTGTGTATCTGTATCACCTGTGTCAGTGTGTATCTGTATCACCTGTGTCAGTGTGTATCTGTATCACCTGTGTCAGTGTGTATCTGTATCACCTGTGTCAGTGTGTATCTGTATCACCTGTGTCAGTGTGTATCTGTATCACCTGTGTCAGTGTGTATCTGTATCACCTGTGTCAGTGTGTATCTGTATCACCTGTGTCAGTGTGTATCTGTATCACCTGTGTCAGTGTGTATCTGTATCACCTGTGTCAGTGTGTATCTGTATCACCTGTGTCAGTGTGTATCTGTATCACCTGTGTCAGTGTGTATCTGTATCACCTGTGTCAGTGTGTATCTGTATCACCTGTGTCAGTGTGTATCTGTATCACCTGTGTCAGTGTGTATCTGTATCACCTGTGTCATGTGTATCTGTATCACCTGTGTCATGTGTATCTGTATCACCTGTGTCAGTGTGTATCTGTATCACCTGTGTCAGTGTGTATCTGTATCACCTGTGTCAGTGTGTATCTGTATCACCTGTGTCAG